CGATCTTACAGGGCTGACATGTTCAACCAAAGATAGTTTTTAGTTACTTATCACCAGGTGGCAGTAAAGGTCAGTATATGATCAACAAATATTGATGCTGGACTGAAGTGAAAGTTTCACTCTTCCCTTACATGGAAATATGTTGACCAGTTTTTAATAAATGTAATTACTCAGACTTCAAATCTTTAAAAATGTAGTTTTTATTTATAAATGAGGATAAAGGACTCACGCTAACAAACAAATGGACTTAATTAGCAGAATTAAAAAAAAAAAAACAGCTTCTGGATTTTTTTATTTTATTTTACTTTACACAATTTTCAGGTCAGTTACTTACCAGCTTGCCAGTCAAGCATACCAGGAGACTATTGAAAAGAATGTGTAGCCAGCTTTCTGTTGTTTTGCCAAATACAGGAAGCAGTTAACATGTCTGCACAGCTTTTTGATTGCAATGTTCCACTAAAAGTGTTTTCTTTTAGGATAATAGTGATTATGGGAGGTTCCCAAGGGTAAATGAAGCTCCCTTTCAGTGACTCATTTCCGCAGCCTGCTATATTTCAATCGAACAACGACTGACCAGCCGTTTTCTAGTAGAATTCTAGGGTGGGTCCTCATCTGACCTCTGACCTTTACAACAAAACTTTTTAGGTTAAAAGCACAACTCAGTTTGGACCTTTGTGGTGCCAGTAAACAATAAAACATTTCTAGACCTTTTGCTATTTAGGAGGGGTGTGCTAAACCAGAGCTAGCTATCATTTCACTTTAGATTGGACAGGAAGTAGTCGTTTTTACTGATGCTGTTCCAGAGTTTGCACAATCGTAGAGTCAACACCATGTCCATAGTCTTTTACTTCAGGAAATTTGCCTGCAAGCACTTTCAATATTTTGTTTCTTGGGAAATAAATTCCCATTCTTTGCTGAATGACTAGCTTCTGTATGATTTTACTGTTTGCTCAGCAGCAATGTTTTTTTCCCCCCGACATTCCACACTGCTTTCAACTCCATAATGCTCTCAGTACAAAACAGGCAAAACAGGAAGTTGGACATGCACTTCCCTAAAGGTTGTCTACACTCTTAACTGTTTGCTCCCCAACTTGTACCCCAGAGAGGAATAAAAGCTGAAAATAGCAAACCACATTTCGCATAAAAGGTCACTATTGCCCTTATTTTAAATGCTATAAAGTTCAAAGCATGAAGTGTGAAAATCCCCCGCCTTTCAGTTTTATTACAGAAGTAGGGTGACACATGGATGTCAGATCTACAGTAAAGTGCACCTCCTTTCTGGTGGCGTTTAAGAAGCGTTAAAACAGAGATATGGGTTTTACTACCCAGTCACAACAGCCTCGAGTTGTGTATGAGAATACTTTCTCCTATCACCCCGAGCCATCTGGAGTCTAGCAGTCTATCTGGGAAACCATGAGAAGGGTGCCATCGTGCATGTAGAGGAGTAGGAAGTGAATGCAATGTGCACCAACCCTTCAGGAAAGCTTCGTCTCTGCATGCCAGTTTGAACATCCTCTGGGCTCTCTCAGTCAACTCCACAGGAAGTAGTAGATGACTCGTGTCATGTCAGTACTGATTTTGTCTTCTCTCTTGTGTTTCTCATCTGTCATGAGTTTGTTCATGTGCTTTGTGTTAATGCAACGTGGCATTCTGGAAGGATTCAAATATTATCACTACACATGTATTCATGGGTAGTATTGATTGTGAGCTTCAAAACCTCCTTTGTTTAATCGTCTCAGAGAGGAGAAAGTTAAAATACCAAAAACTAAAAAGACTATTACAAACCTCCCCTCCTAAATGACACAATGCAAGCACTGACTGAAACTGTTGATCTGTGGCACCGTAAATTGGCACTCAGTCAATAAAACTTTAGCTGTTTAATTCATTATTTGATTATTTTACATCATTGAAAGCTCAAGAATAGTTTCTTGGCTGACTGCATGTAAAGATTGTTTATGACAAGAAAGAATGAACTTTAAATTTTAATATTAAACTATATGGATGGGAACTTTTCAAAGTACTAAAGAAATATTAATTAAACCATATGTGCAAATCATTTCATTACAATACCAAGGGAAAGTTGCATTGTGCTGTTGTTGTTCATATGGATTCAGCAGGGGATACTTACTTGATCCCCTGCTGAATTTGTATGTTTGCTCACTTCCAAAGAAATGATCAGTATCTAATTTTTAAGGTAGCTTTATTTTAATGGAGAGAGACAGAATATCGACCAAACACCCAGAAAGAAAGAAAAAACATGACTTAATACTTGGTGGAGAAATTCTTGTTGCAAACATCACTAAGATATTTCTTGTAGTTAGTCAGGTTTGCACACATCTCAAGAGGATTTTTGGCCCACTAGTCTTTACATAAACTTTTGCAACTTTGTTGCTGCTTAGAAACATTAAACTTCAGGTCTTTCCACAGAAGTCTTATAGGATTGAGGCCTGGAGACTAGCTGGAGCACTCGAAGATGTTAACATGCTTCTTATTTAGCCACTCCTTCGTTACCTTGGCGATATCTTTGGGTCATTGTCATGCTGGAAGACCCATCCACAGCATATCTTCAGCGTTCTGGCTGAAGAAAGGAAGTTCTTGTCCAAGATTTTATAGTACATGCTCCCATACATTTGCTCCTCAATACAGTGAAGTTGTCTTGTACCCTTAGCATAAAAATGAACCCAATGCATAATGTTTCCACCTCCATGCCTGACTGTAACGATGGTGTTCTTTGGGTCATACTCACTTCTCTTCCTACAAACTTGGCTGGTTGACTTGATGCCAAAGAGCTTGATTTTGGTTTCATTTGACCACAGCTCTTTCTCCCAAGACTTCTCTTGCGGGTGAAAGTTTTCAATCCATTATAGTGTAGTGTGTTGACAATGGTGTTCTGACTGTGGTCCCGACTTGCTTCAGATCATTAACAAGCTCCTCACATGTAGTTTTTGGCTGATCCACAACCTTTATCATGATCATCCTTACCCCTTGAGGCAAGATCTTGCATGGAGCTCCAGATCGATGCTCATTTTATATTTCTTCCATTTCCGAATAATCACATCAACAGTTGTTATCTACTCACCAAGCTTCTTGCTGATGGTCTTGTGGCTCATTTCAGCCTAATGCAGGTCTAAATGTTTGTCCCTGACATCCTTTGACAGATTTTTGGTCTTGGAATGGAAAAAAATGATTCAGTGGATAGTTGTGCTTTGTATACATAATAAGTTGAGATCAGGAGTATCTGTAATTGATTGACTGATTGTAGTTTATGTGCCACATGGCACATGTGGATTTTTGTTCTATATTCTGTCTCTCTATCAAAATGAAACTACCACAAACATTAGAGACTGTTCATTTCTTTGTAAGTGAGCAAACTTACAAAATCTACAGGGGATAAAATAATGATTTCCTGCACTGCATATAAGCAAGAGGGTTTAACTGCATGACATTTTTATTTAGTGAAGATTAAAGTCACTATACTCAAAATGGTCCCTTCATTGTGTTATTGTGTTGTACAAAATCTGAACGTGTTTCTCATCTGAAGGATTTGTAGTTTGAGTTTTATCTCTGTCAAGCTGCTCTGCTTTCTGCGTAGCTGGCACACAACAGCCATGCTCACCTTGCTCCTAGGCTTTCTCAGCTTGGTATCAATCCAGTGAGTCTACTCAGCTCTAAAACTGTGTGGCCCAAGGATGCTTTCAGCCTTCATCTTAGAGTTCGCTTGTGATCTTTTTCTGTTACATTTGGCTGCGGAGCTGATTCTGGGTGCTGGAGTTTAGGTGCTTTATCTTCCCTGTCCAGTCAGACTGCTGTCGGTGTCCCTCCCTCTTACAGGCAGCCCTGAGGCACTGGCAGGAGATAAGAGAAGGGCCCACAGCAGCTCTGGTTTGAAAAGGAAAAGCCATGAGGACACCAACTATGTAGAAATATCAATGCATTCATTCCCCAAAGAGGCAGCTTTCACAAGCTCTTTCTTTTGGATTATTTCTAAGCATAGCTTAATCACATCTTCCTCCAGCTTCACGATTTTTCTGAGCTTTGTGTGAAGAATCAGCAAGTACACATATGAGGGTTTTACGCTCGACATAATCATTAAAACGTCAGATGGAAATATTAACATTAAAGTAATTACTAGTGAGTTAACTGGTGGATGGACTGCTACTTATATAGTACTTCATACAAGCACTTTTTTGTGCTTTTCCCCACTTTTCGAAAGCAACTTCGGGTTCAGGATCTTGCCCAAGGATAATCTGGCACGCAAACCGGAGCAGCCAGGGCTCAAACCAATTAGTAGGTGACCTGCTGTACCTCCTAAACTACAGCCACGCCAATTAACCTTAAAATTATTATTCTAGAAGATATGTGATGCAAAGTTATTGCTCAAAGTGTTTGAAAATACTCTCGTGCATAATCAGTGATCTAAGATTACATTACAGAGAAGTTATGCAACAAAAATAATAAATAAAAAATAAAACGTAAGGGACTTCCCTGATTGTCTGAAAAGGCCCTGGCAACTATGTTTACAGCTGTGTGTTTATGTAGGACCTCTAAAATGTAAAATCACAATTTAGGAAGTAAAATGAAGTCCTTGGAATTTGCTTCTAAGTATAATATAATAAATCCACTGAATTCAAGTTCACATTACTTAGCGCAGTGATAACCATCGTCGTCTGAACCCTTACAGAAAGTGACCGTCAAAACCTTTTAGAACTGGCAACACCTGGGGCATAATTATGAGAGAAAACACAAATACTCCTCCCCAAAGAATTAGAGCGTGCCACTCTTTATCTTTCGTCTTATCTGCACTCTGGCGAAGCAAAGCATAATAATCATTAGCCTCAGTCACGACCCACCTCACGCCTGACAGAGCAAGGCCGTGTTAAGCTGTCGCTTTAAGACCGATTTCCCCCCATTGTCAAACAGTCGTGAGCAGGAAGAGGAAAACGAAAGCACAGCCTGACAAGCGAGAGAGAGGGGGTGTGAGGAGGGGAAGGGCGCGCGGGGGTGTGGGAGGGGGGTGTATTTAAAACACGATGCTGCTGCTACTGCACAATAACGGTGCCCGCTGCTTCATGTGGAGTCGCGCGCCTGTGAAAAGGCACGCACGGACACGGAGAGCCACGCAAGTGACCTTCTGATCGCATCAGACGGCGTGTGCATTTTAATAAAAGAGCGAACAGGCAGCAAAGTCCCTGCGGGGTGAGGAGTCACACTTGGAAAAAAAGACGCGAAGTCTCTCCGCGGGTCACTGCCTCAGGAAATGATGACAGTGTCCTCCATCACGGCTTAGCCGCCTAAAGCAAACACTTCGCGTCTTGCGGCCATTTCGTCTGGACTCAGCTGCCTTCGATTGAACACGTTTGAAAGCCTGACGCGGGCTGCTGGTGGTGCTGGTGGTGCCTCGGAGGGGGAGCAGGTGCAGCGCCCGCACGCAGCTTCGCTTCGCGGGTCCCCACTGAGCTTGCTGGCCGGTGACTTCAAAATCTAATCTGGTGGACCAGGCTGGACATCATCTTTGAAGAATGACATCCACTATAGAGAGGAAGACGCTGGAGGCCAGCGAGTAAGTAGCAATGAATGATGTTTAAATAATGTCATTTCTGATTCAAGTAAAAGTATCCGTGACGCATCAGCACTCACGGGACAGCCACAACTCTCCGGTGAGACAGCTCCAGAGAGCTGGTAGCATAAGGTCTGAAGTATCCTGTCAAAAATGTCAAAGTTTAAGAACAGAGTGATGTGTTAATGTTAATGTGAATAATAACAAAATGAAGGTCTTGCGAGGAAAATGTGGAGCGCTAAGGCACTCCTAGCGTAAATCGACATATTAAAAAAAAACAAACAATGTTGTGTGTGACATACTTTTTATTAGTTAGCGGTTTAATATCCAATGGCTCCCTCAGGTGGATGGGAATAAAACACATCTGTGCACACAGCTCCAGCTCAGATATACATGTGGTTGTGTAGCACTTATTAGATACAACACGGTGTGAATATGGATGCAGAACACTAACTGTGCCTTTGGATCAGGAAATGTTTGGTTTATTTGCATAATAATAGCAAAATATCAACAGGTTACCAACAAGTATGTGTCAGAGCTAGAACAGTTCTTTTCCAGTATTTGATTCATCAGTTAGCAGAACGTTTGAGAGACCTGCATGTTACATTGACTAACTAACCAATCACACAACTGAGGGAAACCTTTGCAGATTAACTGATGAAGGAAACAAAAATTTGATGCAGCCCTAAATCCTTATTGCTTTTTTTTTTTCTTCCAGGGAACCGGTGGATGAGGTCCTCCAGATGCCTCCATCTCTGCTGACTTGCGGTGGATGTCAGCAGAGCATTGGTGACAGATTCTTCCTGAAGGCCATCGAGCAGTACTGGCACGAGGACTGCCTGAGCTGCGATCTGTGTGGCTGTCGGTTGGGGGAGGTGGGCCGTCGTCTCTACTACAAGCTGGGAAGAAAACTGTGTCGGAGAGATTACCTCAGGTTGGTTCAGTTGGTAGTGATATTATGAATTAATCAATTAGGTTGTGTAAATGAGGTCTGGTCAACATGTTAAAATGTCCTAGCATTGAGCTTAAAGCCATAAGCATCAAAATTAAACCAAAGTAGACTGAGGATATTGAAGTCTACATGTAGTAGAATATATTGATGTTCACCCTTTTAGTTAAGAAAAAGATGCACTTTTTGAGATGCACTAGTATGTATATCTTTTATCACACCTTAAAGGCTCATGGAGAAACACTTTGGGCAAGTATAGAAATTTCTAACCTCTTTCCTGCTGTAACTTTTTTATTGAGGAAAGTGCGGACAAGTTGAAATAGATTCAGGAGAAGAAGGCAGGTCTCTGTTAAAGAACTGATAACATTTGATATCATATGTAGCTGTGTGGTGCACAGCCACATCAGGTAAACACATTTACCTAAGATAAGATCAAGAGGAGATACAAAATCAGGCAGACCCACTGGTGTACTCCTAATATGTAATGTGCTGTCAAATATGTAGTATCAATCAGTGGCAGAACCTGTATGATTGGACCTGGCTTGTGAATGCTCTGTATAAAGGTATATCACCACTATAAAGGTATGTGTTGCTTTGATGACGATGCATTTCCACTTTATGGTGAAAAATATGGACCGAAAGTAAAGCAGATCAGTACAACCTATCTGTAAAATAAACAAACAAGAAGCAGGTAATGCAATGCTTCGATACTTCCGCACCATTTCCCAGAAATTCATCTCTGATCCATTTATTATTGCTAATAATTGCTAAAAATCGTGGGTGTTTGTGTGACATTTTCAGCTTCTGAAGATGAGCAGGATAGAAAAAGTCTGTGAAGCACTGGTGGTTTCTAACAGCTCAATCCCTCAGGCTCAGGGGAAAGATCCAGAGCACCTTAATGGAGATACTGTCAGTCTCTCTTACAGCTTCACATCATTAAGAGCGAGTAAATGTTTTCCATCTTCCTCCCAGTAACATGTTGATGTCCTCTCATCCACTCAGGCTTTTTGGCCAGGACGGTCTCTGCGCCTCCTGTGAAAAGAGGATCCGAGCGTTTGAGATGACGATGCGTGTGCGGGACAAGGTTTACCATCTGGAGTGCTTCAAGTGCGCTGCCTGCCAGAAGCACTTCTGCGTGGGTGATCGTTACCTTCTCATCAACTCAGACATTGTGTGCGAGCAGGACATCTTTGAGTGGACCAAGCTCAACAACAATAATATGGTTTAGGAGGCTGTCTTCTTCCCCCTTGATTCAAAGGGAATGGACTACTGATAGACATTTTATATTTAAAATGCAGGCTTTATAATGCGTTTGAAATCAATATGGAATCATTAAAAAAAGCAAACGAGGGGCTACATCTCTGCATGTCTCCCTGATGGGGACTAATGAAGACTGCACCAGCAATAACCGAGAGCTTTTTTATTGAAGGCAAAAAATAAATGCTCCAATACTGACAATGTTTAAAAATGCAATATTGGTCATTTGTTGTACGCTGGAACTTTAGAACAAAAAGAAGATAAAAAAAAATATTTGTCCAGTTTCTTGTAGTCTTTACACTGAGCAGATCAGCAGCTTGTCTTTTATGGATTTGTAATTTCTTAATACTTTCCCAGCACTAATTATTTTTGAACTTTGTTAAAAGAATGCGTCTCTCTCTAAATCTAAACATACATTAACTTAATGCTTATTCATTGTAACTGTAATATGTTAAAGCAGTGGTTGTCGGGCTTTATTTTGCATGCCTCCAGTAAGAAGCTGAGAAGAGATCACCCACCGTATCACTTCCACCAACATATATTTCTTCATATTTTTATGAAAAATTAACGAAACAAGCATTGAAGCTGAATTTAAATCAAATTCAAGTCATCATTATAGCGCTCCACTTCATTCATCCAACTTAAGTTGATAATTTTCCACATACAACCAAGGTCCACTTCACAGTTTGTGAAACAATCTCTTAAAGTCATTGTTTGCCTGTGGACAAATTTAAAATGCTTGAATGGCCTGCTGCACTGGCTGATTCACTAGAAATTAGGTGGAATGAATGAAGTGGATGTGTGCCAGGTGAATGCCGTGTCTGTACATCTACGATTGTTTCTGAAAGTTTTCAAGAAAATTTGTGAGAATTTATTAGGAAATTACAGACCTGTAATTAAAGCATTACCTGATTTTCATATTATAAATGAAAAACAACATCCACTTATTTAAAGAAAAGAAAAGAAGTTCTGATCAGAATGATTATGTATTACCGGGTTGAACTGGTGGCGCCCTCTAGTGGTCAAGGAACCCATGCAATTCTTGTTTTACTGACTTTTTAGAGGTTTTGCATGCATCTTTTGTAATTTTACCTATTCTCTGGACATCCATTCAAGACTTTTTGTATATTAACCTTGAATTTATTTAATAAATGACAATTCAGAGCAATACTGATCATCTTTGGGTGTCTTCCTGGCAGTCACAAAGAAAAAGTCAAACAGCTTGTGAGATCTTGATGCAGATACAATTTGTAACACGTTATTTACCAGAATAACAGCAAATAATACGTTAATTATGGTAAAGATAATCTCCTCCGAACAATAATATGCTCCGAACAGGAATGGCAAATCAGAGTTAGAATATATACTGCACATTGGTCACAGCAACAGTAAAACAAACATGCTAGGAACTTATCTAGAATGTAAACACAAGAAGCAGAGAATCGAAGTACCACTTAGTACCACTTTGACCAACAGAGAACATGAAAACCAGCTTCATCTGTGTTGTTTGCATCCTGATAGGTTAAGCGGAGTCATGACTATAACTGCTTAAAAATAAAACGCAAACATTAAACTATAATCACCTTGAGTAATAGATGTTAAGTTAATGTATTTCTTATTATGATCAATATTTTGTACACAACATCTCAGAAGCTGAAAGCAGAGTGAAGCTGCAATAAATCTGATTAAAAGCTTGTTTTATCAAGCTTGTTAGAAGGTGTAAATAGAAGGATTTGGCAACTAAGTAAATAGATACCAATTCTTCAACCCAGTTTTTAGCCACAAGAGGTCACTAAATGATTTATAAATTCAAGCTTAAAATAATGACATTTCAGTTTGTTTAGGTTTTTGTTTTTGTTGCCAAGGAGAAGGAGAGCTCCCCAATAAGATCAAACTCTTCTGACATGATCGATGAATCCAAGAGACAGAAACAGAAGAATCTTCTAATGAAGTCATGATGTCTGGGGCTGTAATGCTCAATCCTTTCCTTACTCTCACTGTCTGTCTTCAAAGCTGGGACACAGTGTTTTTTCTCTCTCCTCACGACTGCCAGCTGACAACTCACTCTGAACTGGCCACAAAGCATGCTCCTCCAGTGCCATCCAACAACGTCCTGCCATCCCCAGTTATCTTTACTGGCACCCGCCAGTAATTGAATCCATGAACCGCTCTGGAATAAAGGCGCCTGACCACATGATATTAGCTGGTGAGGGAGACCGCTTTAGCTGGCATTAAGAAGTAGTTGAAAGATGTGATTGGGAAACAGTCTGCAACAAAGGAGACATAGGAGAGACTAAAAAGGAGAGAGCTGGGTGAAAAACCCATGTCAGAGCACAGAAGCTCCAGGATGATTAGCTGGGTCTGATAGTTTCCTCACAGAGAAGGAAGGAATGAAGAAACAGACCAAACCCACCCCAGACTTAGATTACATTCTTGCTGAAGGAGACACTTGTGGGGAAAACTAACGGGTTTTACCACAATAGAGATGGGAATACACTAGATGGGCACACAGAGGGATATAGGCCCTGTGCTCGTTTGGAGGTCTCCAGAATCATCAGTGTGGCATTAGGCAATGCTTCAGGAATGGTGCCATAGTAAAAAAAAAGAAAAGAGAAAAGAATGACAAAGAAAACCTAAAAATCTATGCGGTGGTCTCACCAATAAATCAATTCCATACTGAACACCCAGCTTGATATGAGTAGCACACAGCAGAGAATATCATCTACCATCATCATTTTTAAAAATAATAAAAACAATGGGATTGTTTCATTCATTTATTCCTGTTTCGCCATCTGACCACAAACGTTTTGGAAGTATAAAACCTTACCACAAACGGTGCGCAGGTGGCAGGTTACTACAAACTAGCCTTAGCATTTAGCTTAGCATAACGGCACACGGGTCAGTAATTTTTTTGAGCCTCTGTTGTTTGTTGGGCCAAGAAATAATATATCATAACACCTGCAGAGCAATAAATTGTCCTTTTAACTCTCTGGCTTCTGTATGATTTTAACAAATGACACGTAACCAGTTAATACACAGAGCCTGGCCTGTGTTTGTGCTTTCCCATGGTTTTAGATTTGATGAACAGATTGGAGAGAAGCCTAACCTTCTCAACTGCACAGAAACTTCTGACAATTTGAGGGAAACTTTAGTGTAGGGATATTTTCCACAGTTCAAACTACTTGAAATACTCTGTGTGTTTTAGCTGAGGCAGCTGTTCCGATAGAGCGGGCAGGAGACAGTGCACATGATGCCTACTCGCTAGCAATGGATGCACTAGAATATTAGCTGTGCTATGCACACACTGGGCCAATCAGACGAACTTTATACCACAGAGCTTGTATGTAAAAGATCAGCTGGCAGGCTATGTGAAGTGTTAGAAAAAAATCAGGATTGAAGTGTAAGTGTGAAAATGAAAAAAAGGAAATGTGGCTCCCTTTCTTCATCTCCTAACTCCCTCATAGTCCCAAGCCTAAGAAACAGAAACTTGTATTTCAGGGTAATTAAACAATGTTTGATTTGTATTTTGAACCATTAAACACCAAACAGAACATTAGGGTTAAATGAAGGTGTTGTACTCTTTAAAAGGGATGGAGCTGATGGATGGTTATAGCCCATCTCACAACATCCACACACACAACACACTGGCCTACAGAAACTCTCTACATTGGCCAAGCGGCCTGTGTTCCATCCGCTGACTCTCCACTGTTGCCCTGCAGGCTGAGCGTTACCAGAGCACTGCATTGACTGCCACTGCAGCCTCAGCAGGACTCAATAAAGCCCTGTGCCTCTTGTGTCATCCCTACCAGCTGTACAGAAGGCCGGGAGTGTAGTGGCGTGTTTGTGTGCCGAGGGAGGCCTGTTTCATCTCCAGTGCCCGTGTCACAGCAGTCCCATATGGGTAAACCTAAAAACATCCAGCTGTGAGCGCATGGAAACCAAGGAAACTTTTTGAGAATTAAACCACAGCGGCTTGCAGCTTGTTTCTATCAAACAGCTGGCCCCACAGAAACAACAACCACTAATAGCGCTCACTCTGGTGCAGTGTGCAGCATGAACATTAGATGGCGGTTCTTCTCCAGGTAGATGCTCTGTGTCTTGGGTGGCGCACGACAGGAAGATTAAGGGAAAGCTGGTTTTCATATGGATGCCAGTTCAGGACCACGATTAGAAGTGGATTGGAAGTGACGACCTACACTCAAAGCTCTGTAGACATGAATGAAAGTTCAGCAACACCTCTAAAGGAAGATGTGGTTGGACAATTATCTTCAGCACCACAGCGATTAATCACAGTGCGGCCTGTCAATGTCAAAGCCATCTAAAAAAAAAAAATGAGCAAAGTGCTATTGATCATGCCCGCCTTGGGTTTCACTTGCACTCACACTTTATCAGATGAAGCTAATTGGGAACATATTTAGTCTGAGGTCCTGAGAGATGTGTCTGTCAGGAGTCACATTCCTGCTCCGATTCTCTGATAGCCCGTAGCGCCTGCAGTCTGGCTGCAGGACAGGCTGTGGGAGTTAGGGTTTGGGGGGGTTGGGGTTGTAGGGATTTGGTATGGCAGCAAACTTAGACAGGGATAGGTGAGTAATAAGCGTGCATCCTTTAACTCTCTCCGGGCATGTCCTTCTGAACAGATTAAATATGTGCCGAGGATTTATTAGGTAGAGAATATCTGGGGCCCCAGAAAAACTCCATGACTGAGTTCCATCCACATTGACTTTTCTCCCACTTTATATTTTCTTTCTTTTTATTACACACAACCTCTTTCACCTATTCTCATCTACCTTCCCATGTGTTGTTACCCCACCATGTCTTTTTGAGTCTTTTAATCTTCCCCCTCTTATTGTCCTTTCAGCCAGCCATATGTACAGACGTGTGACTTGATGGAGTCTGATTATGATGATGTTTACCACTTTAGCCTGGAGGCCTCATGTCAAGAGGAAGGCTGAAGAAGTATAGCGCAGAAGCATGCAAATCCATTTACTCAATCAAATGCAATAAAGCAACAATATAAAAGCCCTGCACTAAAAATGTTTATCACTAAAAGAATGCTGTAATCAGGCAGCATAACAAATTGAACTATTCAGGCTATAACTAGACTATATAACTCCTTAATTCCTAAGCTAATTGTTTTTTTAGTTTCCTTAGTTTTTCTCATGTCTTAGGTAGCTTAATTTGTCTCCGTATAATTGAGGTAAGGTGGCACAAAATGAAAATAACAGCATATTCAAGTAATAGTACTAAAATACTAGTTGGCATTTTTGCTAATAGTCACATAATAAAAAGTGATAAAAACAAACTCAAAGCTACCTGTTAGCTTAGTTAGCTTAGATCTGGCCCTATGTAACCAAAGTTAGAAAAGAAGTGAAATTCAGTATTTTTCAAGGATTAAACAGGACCTGGAGCATCACTGATTCCCTGCTAGTCCCAGCATGAAAACAAAAATATACAGACTTTGCTACGTCCAAAACCAGGCTAGTTGTTAGCCTTCCTTTTCCTATCCACGTTAAGTAAGCTAGCTAGCTGCCAGCTTTAACTGCAGTTCTACCATATAAGCAGTAAAGTAGTACATATCCTTCAATCTTCTCCTTTATCTCATTGTAAATGAGTGAATTAGGAATTTTCCAAGACATCAGGATATCCAGTTTACATGTCCAAACTCCCTGGGAAATCTGAGAAATCTTCTCTGTGATGCATCAACTTCTGGAAATGTTTGGCATACACTTTGCATCTCAAACACAAACAAATTTGTCTGTTTTATTTTTCAAACTAAATTAGTCTGAGCGGCCTAATATATTTTTATTCGTTTGATATAGATATCCTACAGTTTGTCACGGTCCAAATTCTTTTGATCTATCATGCAGGGATAGTAAATCTGTTTTGAACCAATCTACAGGATGTTTTCTTTTTTCAGCATACAAAATTCTTGGGCCATAAGTCACTTTATGCTCTTAAATGATCCCCATATGTTGAGCAGCGTTGGCTTCTGATAACCCTACTGCACAAGCCCTTCATCAAACATGCTGAGGGGAAAAGTGCCGCCCTACTGGGATGGACAAGCAGCAAAAGTGCAGAACAATAATAAATGCAGCTGCATGCTGTGAGCACATAATACAGATTAGAAACTACAATCGTAGGAATTATGTGCTTTATAACTCCAAAACCAC